TTAATTGGTCAATCCTAGTAAATATTATGACTCCCCAAAAACTCATCATCGACATTCTTTATCATTTTCGTACGCTTTTCGATGTAATGTGAAGGTCCTCCTCTTATACGTTTATAATTAATTGGGGACAATATTTGAAAGGTCCATTTTTTTTAAACATTATCTCCATATATGTGTGTGCGCACGAATGTATTTATAAATATGGATAAATCTCATATCAAATTTTGTATATCATATGACATATAGCTTTTATCTTAGTTAATTTACATACAATTGAACCACTAAAATATTGGTTGATGCAGCAATAAGTCCTTTTTCACTTTCTAAGATGTAATTCGAATATGGCAATCCTAATATGAAAAGTCTTGTTTGACCGGTAGATTGTGCGGTGTTGGATCCATAATACTTGTCCGAACTCATTCTTTAAATAAAAATTGAGTCAAGACTTTTTCATTTCATTGGTGGACCTCAGAATTTCTTCTGAACGATAAAATGACACTACTAATTAATCTCACTTTTTGATGGCGAAAGATATTATGTTCATACAATTGCTATGCTTATATTGGAATGGTTGTGTATAGATGGTTACAGAAATAGCCTACAAGTAATTTACTTGACTGAATCACGAGTTATAAAACTCAAATCCCTCTATACCCAAGTTCAAAAGAAAATAGCCTTCAACAACTTCAATTGTTGATATCAGACCATTTAGCAGCACAAACAGTAAACACCATATCAAGCATCAAAAGAGAGACATTCGTACATAATTAGTAAACTATATATTTGTATTTATTTGCGATGTGTCTGTTAATTATTTTATATAATTTTCATCATATTTTCTTATAGATTTGTCCCAAATTTTGCCTCACTTAAAAAGAAATAAAAGAGAGACATTCGTACAATACTAAATTAGATATTTGAATTTATTTGCAACGTATCTGTTAATTATTTTATCACTTAAAAAGGATTAAAAGAGGGACATTCGTACATTAGTAAACTAGATATTTGTATTTATTTGCGATGTATCTGTTAAGTTTTCTTACTGTAATAGGTACATACGAAAATATTAATAAATTCATCGGTAGTACTACCCCTTAAAGTGGAGTCTCTTTTTATTTTTATCCCTTAATAGTAGGCCATACATTTCTAAATTTTGGATTAGAACTAGTCAAATGGTAGTGTTTTTTTTTTTTTTTTTTTCCTTCTTCTTTCAAAAGGAATACTTTTACGAAGTCAGGTAATCTTTTTCTCTTATCTCCCTTTATCCTTTAATGGATCTGTAGTACTGCTCTTGAATTGTAAAAGAAAAAAAAACACGTAAAATATATAGCTAAATGAAGTGCCGTTACGTAAGTCTCTTCTTCAAGCCTCGTTGAGGATGTTATTTATTTATTTATTTTTTGAATTTGTTGATTAGTTCATGATTAAATGAAATCCTATTTACAGCAGTTATATTAACTGTAACATTAACTCCCATGCCCGCAAGACGTTGGTAGTATGTGAGGGAGAACAAAAATTTCGACTATGTTTACATTGCAATATCAGTAATAATCAATGTACTAATTTGATATATTGATCATATCTTTTTATTTATCACTATCATCATTTCTTTCCTTTACGTATTAACAATCTTTTCCTAATAACAAATCTTCTAATTTAAATGCAAAACATTATTAATTTAATACAATATGGTTCACGATACTATAATAACCTATTCTATTATTTATTTCAAGGAATTATCAAAACATAAGAAATAAAATGTTAATATAAAAATAGAAAGCTTGTTCTTCCAAGAAAAGGAAAGAAATTTCACAGTTATATTTGAGGCCAATAAATCCCTAAGAGCAATTAAAACTTTTCGTAAACATGCAAAGGGTGAAAGAGGTTAATAAAACATAACGGAACGGGAATCCTCCTCGAAAAGGTCGACGATGGGGGATAATAATTAGAGATGGGGACACAGTCTTGTCTCCGAGTTTATACTTCATTTGTGTTTTAAATTTTGTTACAATTCTAAATGTATAATTATTTTAAATGAGGAGTAGGGCGCGTATGGAAAAAGTCTCACTACCAGAGAATTCCTGACTCATTTAATCGAGAATGGGGATGAAGATGGGGATCATTTGGGGAATGAGGATGGGGACGTGATATTATTACCGACCCCTACCTTGCCCAGTTATTCAGCCAAAAAATGGTGACTAGCATTTAAGAGCATCTCCAAGGAAAACCTCTCTAAATTTTTGCTAAATTCTAGTTAAAATGACTAGAAAGTTATTTTAGCTAGCAATTTTTTAGTGAGTCATTCTAATCACTCTCTCTATTTTAACTAAACATAGAATATTTTAATATTTTTTGAGTTTAAAATATAAATAATTTTTTTTAATTTTTATTTTATGTCAAAATAAAGAATAAAATAATAAAAGAATAAATAGCTAGCAACTTCTTGCTAGCTATATTTAGCTAGTGGAAAATGCTTTAGTCAAAATAGCTAACTATTTAGCTAATGATTGAAGTGGAGAAAACTTTTAAAAAAAATCATTAGTTATTTTGGATAAAAACATGAAATGACTAGCATAGTTGGAGTTGTGCTAAAGAACTTGAACACTTATGGCACGGATCCAAAAAAAAGAAATTAAAAAAGTGCACGATAGAAAAAGTAAGAACATTTATAGTTTAAATAAGAAATTAAAACGAAATTTAGATTAAAAAAAATGAAACCTAAAGAAATTAAGTAGGGATCACATTATTAGTTCCGTGGTCGTAACATTGATTATGATTGATAAATAATTATACTACGAAAATGCTAAATTTTTACGTCAAGTAACCGAAAGTTTTGTATCATAGACTTTATATGCATCATGCATGAATGGATTTTAAAGAAAGGTAAACTAGAATTTTTGTACAAATACAAAACTTGAAATAAAAACCATTAATATTTAAATTTGATATATGACTATAGTATAAATGAAGCCCGGTAACTTATAATAAAGCACACAATAGAGTCCGGTAACTTATAATAAAGCACAAAATAGATAATTAATGTGTGAAAAACTACATAATTTTGTAAAATGGATCATGTATGATTACGAAATTGTCTTTTAACATTTTAATTATAATAAAAACCAACCATTTTATTTTGGGTATTATAACTTCATCCTTTAAAGTAAACATCACTTGGTTATCCTGTAATTGGGGGGCGAAAACTTTTTTTAATGCAAAACAATATTTCATTAGCAACAAAACATAGAATTTATAGAAACCTCAATACAAAAAACTTAATACAACAAAACTAAAATTAGTAAATTTGATGGCGTCCTAGTACAGAGATCCAAGGTCTGATGGTGGATACAATTTCGAGCACTTCTCTAGGCCTCTTTTAATTCTCCCTTTACAGTTGGCTCTCTCAAATGGCCTGTGGCAAACTCTTTGCAAAGACCGATCTTTGAAAACCTGTATTCTTCCAGATTTAGCTCGCCGAAGCGGGAGATATGGCTAAAAGTAATACAGAAGATAAAAAACAACACCAAACCCACCCAAATCTAGAGATTGATAGGAAAAAACAACCAAGACTAACAAACAAAACCACACAAGGTTAGAGCTTGGCAGGGGAACACAACTAAAATCAATAAAAACAACCAAAACCACACAAATCTATAGATGGGTGGGGCAAACAAACACCAACTTTGGCGGAATGATCCCCATTATTCCACCTATGACTAAAAAAAGTGAAGGATACACCAACACGGACTTCACCACCGTGTAGATTGGTAGATGTAGAGCGCATGAGTGTATTTTAAGAGCTGGTTGACCAAAAATGCGCTTTCGGTAACCGACCAAATTGTTCTCCTTCTTCCCTACTCTCTCTCTTTTTCTTTGGAACTCTCACTTTTAAATTTTCTTAGTAGTTGGTGGCGAAAGCTTTCAAATCTTACTAGGGATTGATTGATACTCAAAACGTGATCACGACTCTTGCGGTTCTTGAATGATAAGTTAAATTTGTTGAAGTTATTACTTCGTAATTAACGAACACATAATAGCAAGATTATTGTAAAATGATCAAGTTCACTAGGATTTACTAAAGACATTTACTCATTTTGATTACAACCAATAAGTCCGGGGTGAATTTTGTAAACAGCCTCAATCTAAAAGGGATTGAATTGTAATTCTAAAAAAATGGATGGTTAATCTTTATAATAATATTAGAAATGAAAGGGAATTACTTTTGTAATTATTCCCCATCTAAGCATTCTACTATATCCTATACGGTTGAAAAGATGCATGCCTTTTGATTAGAGTCTAACAAATCTGAAAAATATACAACACTTTAACGAAAAGGAATACGTGTTCTTTAAAACAAGGCACAGATCATATTGCAAAAGCAACAAAAAGAAAAAAATAAAAAAGAGAGAGACAGCCATCACATTTGGATGAATTATTAGTGTTATACCTTTTTTTGTTGCATTCAAATGTTGTTCAATGAATGTCTTAATTCTTTCTTTCCTGATAATTAATCTTACACTTATTTATTTATTTTGTTTTTGTGTTTGGTTTTTGGTTTTTTGATTTTCCACTACAGACTTTTAAGTCTTTTACTCTTTGCATTCACCTTTCCTTCTCTCTCTTAATAGATTAAATTAAGATTGCGTGTGATGGATTTAAGGATATCATAATTGGATTTTTTCCCCTAAAGTAATTAAGTTTTGGTTTAATTAACTTTTAAATTGTTAAATGGGGACATCCATACATTTTTGTTAATAAAGAAAGGATTAAAAAATTCTTTTTTTTAAACCTATACATAAAAAAAAAGTCAAAACTCTAGGGGGCATATGCCCCCTACGCCCCAGCCAACCACTAAAATGTTTAGGCTACAGTACACAAAATAATTAAAAAAGCAATCACCATAAAAAAAAAAAAAAATGTTCCAAATCCCTCTATAAGTACTCATTACCACCAATATTTCACACTCAAAAAACATTCCCAAACATAATAATCTTCATTTAATGGCTAATCTCCAAGACTTCGCTTTTCTTCTATTAATTATCCTAGCCCTAGCCTCATTAACAATCTTTGTCCAAACCATAATATTTTTCTGCAAACGTAAAACCAAGTCCCTTCTTCCTCTTCCACCAAGCCCACCGGCGCTTCCCATCATCGGCCATCTTTACCTCCTCGGAAAACTCCCCCACCAAGCTCTCTGCAAGGTCTCGAACCGATATGGCTCGATCGTCTTCCTCCGGTTCGGCTACAAGTCTTCTCTTCTCGTCTCCTCCGCGGAGATAGCAAGAGAATGCCTCAAAACCAACGAGTCTTGCTTCATGAACCGTCCACAGAGGGCGAATTTTGACTACCTAACCTACGGTGGTTCCGACTTCTCGGTGGCGCCGTATGGACGCTACTGGAAGTTCATGAGGAAGCTCACTGTGTCCAAGCTTCTTGGAGCTTCTATCATGGAGGTAATTTCTGTTGTAAACTTTGGGAAACTGTTGATTATATTTATTTATCTATTCTTGGACACAGTGAGCTTCTATCATGAAGTACTTTCCTGGTTTTACCAATACAGTATTCGTTTTGCACATTTTGTTTTATAATGGTAACATGTGCACTAATTTCTATTGATTTCTAAGTCAAAGTGATGTGGCATTATATATTCAGTCATACAAAAGATTCAGTGATATTGTCTGTACTTGTATACAAATGGTGCAGGCTTAGCTAGCTATATATGCCCTTAATATATATATATATATATATAAATAAATAAATTAAAGAAAAAATGCAGTTCAAAATTTGGTTACAACTTATGAGCCATATATACAGTATTTAATCTTAGAAATATGTTAACATGAATTAACCATCCACCGGGTGGCTTAGCGGCAATAGACTACCCTAGTAGGTTTGTAGTCAAAGATTAAAGGGTTGGGCGGTCTTTCTTAAGGGTCTTAAATGCCAGCGCCTGCGACCACAAACTCATGTCTCCTTACCGCTGACACATTTGATAGAGTTGGGTGACACGCTTCGCACCGAGAGGTAGATTCGGATAGTAGGGTCTCAACGATTATTTCTATTAGCATACGGGAGTTCCTTTGCTAACGACCATATATGTTTTGTACTAATATTAGTCGTCCCCTTCCCAGATTTATATTTTGCAAAAAGAAAAAAAAAAAAGTTTAACTGTATTGAATATGGCAGGTTTACCAAGCTATCCGAAGGGAAGAGATAAAGCAGTTAATACAAACTATACTGAAGGAAGCAGACGAAGGAAAGGAAATCAATGTCGGAGCTCAACTCATGGGGTTGACAAACAATATCATCTCAAGGATGGCACTGAAACAAAAGTGCGCGAAAAACGAAGACGAAGCTTACGAGATGAGGTATGTTGTGGACGAGATGTGTGACCTTGCTGGGAAGTTGAACTTGCAAGATTTCATTTGGTTTTGCAGGAAATTTGATTTGCAGAGGTTTGGGAAAAGGCTTAAAGAGGTAAGGGCTAGATATGATAATTTGATGGAGAAGATTATTAAAGATCATGAAGAAGCAAAGAGGAGGAGAATGGAAACACGTGGGGATAATGATAATGGAGAAGTTAAGGATATACTTGATATGCTGCTTGATGTTTACGAAGATGAGGATTCGGAGATCAAGTTGACTAAAGAAAATATCAACGCCTACGTTATGGTAAGCATGCATTTATTCCTTATCGTCTAGTCTCTAGGTCATATATACGTTATCTCCCTTTGTGTAAGGGCCGTTCTTTTCTTAGGTTTACATAGAAAGTTTGAAAAAATTCAAAATTTTGTGAGAAAAAAACTATAGCAAAAAGGTTGAATTGCGATTCAAACCTATGAAAAGAACCTGATATTAGATTTATTGGCTTGTGATGAAAAGTTGACATGGTGAGTAAGAGTTGTAGTAGGTTTTACAAGATGATCAGTTGGCACTTCTAAAAAATTTAACATGTGAGCGTCCTGATAAATATACATGATTAATATAACACTACTAATTATAGTTTTAACAGCAATAAGAATGATAATACTAATAAATTTTTTTTTGAGGCTTGGGTTATATATATAGCGTACTGCTAAAAAAATACTGCTAACTAGGTCCCATGTTTTTTTTTTTTTGGGTGGTACGTGGGAAAAATTTAAGTGTATGTTGTCAGCAAAAGCATTTAGCAACATATATACAATATGTTATTCCCTTTTCTCACAAGCTAACAAAAACGTGAAACGCAAAACATATATGTGTACGTCTGATTGAGAAAATGCATAAATAGAAACAAAATACTCAAATCATATATATCTGTACTGCTTTTTTAATTTCTTATTGCTATAGCTAGTATGACTCCCCGATTAGGAGTAGGTTTAATGAAGCATCCTTTTTGATCTTTGTTGTTGGGTGTAGATCTTGCTTTTTTCTGTCTCGATGTTGCTGTTTTTTAGTTTCATTTTAATGGGTTGTTTAGGTTTTTGAATATATATATATATATATATACATGTCAGAGCAAGATGGGGTAAGGGTAGCAACTTTTTAGGATTAAGAGTTCTGGATACCTGTCCTTCTCTCTCATCTCATAAAAAGTATCTTTTCAATTAGCACCTGTCTCTATAACCTTTATAGCTTTTCTTGTATTGTAGTGTACAAAATGTATTTTATTGTGTTATATTATCAACAATACACTACAGTGATAAAACATTAAAGAAGTTAATAATCTAATGTATGCACTTTTAGATTGTATTGCATTGTATTATTTATTCCCAAATTGATTTCCAACCTTGATATCGATCTTGGCACGACCCCAACTTAACTCTAACCTCGGTCACAGGTCGAACTTGATCTTAGCCTTGGACTGACCATGACCTTGGTCTTGTCTTGACATGAATCCTAACCATCATGACCTGACTTTGGCCTTCTTGTCAGACTGAACCTGACCCATGGCCTAGTCTGACCTCAATCGCTGTTCCTACCCAATCTTGACCCCAACCTTGTTTCTGGCCCCTAAGTCGATCACGATCCGATCTCACCCGAGTTTCGACCCTCACCTAGATCCTGGTCTCCGACCACTGATCTGGCATAAAGTAATACGAAATGAATCGTATTATCTTACAATTCATGTTAACGTACGCAATACTGTCATATTAAATATTATATTAATGTATTACTATACAATGCAATACTCTAATATAGTCCACCAAACATGCCGCATATATACGCAGAACATCTTTGGTGCTGGGACCGAAACCCAAGCGGTGACAATGGAATGGGCACTATCCGAGCTAATAAGCCACCCAAACGCCATGTCCAAAGCAAGGCAAGAAGTAGACCAAGTTGTAGGAAACAATAGAATGGTACAAGAATCAGACATCGCAAACCTTCCCTACATAAAAGCTGTAGTGAAAGAAACCCTAAGACTTCATCCTGGAGGGCCTTTCATAGCCAGGGAATCCTCTAAGGACTGCGAAATAAATGGCTACCATGTCCCAGCCAATACCCGGCTCTTCATCAACACGTGGGCAATCAACCGAGACCCGAACCATTGGGATGACCCGCACGAGTTCTCGCCGGAGAGGTTTCTCGACGAGGATGGCAATGAAAAGAGAGATTTGGATGTGAGGGGACACCACTTTCAGCTGTTGCCGTTTGGGAGTGGAAATAGAGGGTGTCCAGGAGTTAATCTCGCGCTATTAGTCGTTCCGACGACGGTGGCGGCTTTGATCCATTGCTTTGATTGGAAGGTTGGTGAGGAAGACAATGGTGTTGTGGATATGGAAGAGAGGTTTGGATTGTCACTTCCTAAGGCTAAGCCCTTGGTTTGTTTTCCTGTGGCCAGGCTCAACCCATTCCCTCAAGTTTAAAAATTTTAAAATCGTGTCAATAATATTGGTTAAATTTCAACCAATCATATATATTAATATGTAAAATTATATGTAGTATTTATTATGTAAATCTAATATTTGGGGACATTATTGTATATATGTGGGTGATTGGTGAAAAAATAACTTGCGAATGTGAGTGGCGGTGGTGTGGATAATATACATCATGTATTGAAAAAATTCTTAAATATCTCCCATGTTTAATTCGTAAATATTCTACGTCAATTTTTGTACTTTAAGAAATTTTTATATCTATACATATTTATTGGGTGAATTTTTAATGGTTACATTTCTATCGTTAGTCACTTTTAGATATAAGATAGAAAAAGCACAACATCCTAGAGAAAGGCTTTAACATAAAAACGATAGCAAAAAAAAAAAAAAAAAGGAAAAAGGAAAAAAAAGACCCTAAGAGACTATATAAGAGCTAATGCTTTTCTTATTTGAATAATTTAAATTAATGTGGGACTAGGATTTTTTCTAATATTAGAATTTAGGAAAAAATTTTCGTTGCAGTTTGGAATGGCCAGGTTAGATGTCTGTGTATCCTAAAACAAGCTAGGATAATATACTTTACATTGATATCCTTTTAAGTAATCTCTAAGAGAAAAACGTGATATATAGGTAAATGTCCATATTTTTAGTGGTCTTTTTATTAAATGGTCAAAATTTTATAAAATTAGAAAAATGGTTGTTTTTTTTAATAACTTTGTGGTCAACCACTTCTTGACTCAGTAATAAATCTGTAATTTATTGATTGAAATTGATTAATTATTAACTGATTTTGGTTGATTATGAACTGATTTTATTAATTAATAATGAAGAATCATTGAGTAAATCATAAGTAAATTAATAGTATATCGGTTAATCACTCATTGACACGGTAGGAAAGTGGTTATTTTCCTAAAATAAAAAAATTTGGCCATTTGTCAAAAAAATAAAAGTTGTCCATTTAACAGAAAAAGTGGTAAAAAAAATGGCCATTTACATAATTTTTCTAAATAAATTATTTCATTCACACAACCTAGCTAGAGATACAACTTGTTATTAGTAACTTCTGTCCCTTGGGAGAAGAATTATGCTATGAAGCGTTTTTGTTTCATTCCTATTTAAATTGATCAAAAAATCTCTTATTATATATAAGTTGTAAAATCTGGATTGACCTGATTATAGAGAGAACAATGAACTTCTTCTGTATGCAGTATTGATTATGATTTACACAGTACTCAGGTTGTGAGATCAAGAAGTCTACCCAAAAATCATCCGGCAATGAAAACACAAACATTTGTAAATGTATGTACAATAAAAAGAAATTACATGTTAATACGAATAATCACTAACAATTAATTAATTTCACATCAAAAGATATCTCCGTAACGGAAAAAGAAAAATCAGTCATCATTAGAAAAAAAGTAACAAAGTAAATGTTATTAACAAAATTAGTATGCACATCTTCACAGGAAAACCAATATATATCCGTCTTTCAGATCATCTCCAACACACTCATACAATGATTTCTGTTTCCTCTATATCTTCCCAGCGTCTTTCTTCTTCTTCTTCTTCTTCAAATGCATCATCAGACTTGAGATGCAAATCTAACGTCTTCAATGGAATTCCGAGTAAGATTTTAGTAGAATAATCTCCACAACCACACAGCTTCTCAAGCTCTTTCATGCCGTCAATGCTAGAAATTTTAGGTTCTCAATACATATAAATGAGATCAAAACGTCACCGGCCGCCGGAAATCACTAACAGCCGGCCGGAATCCGATCAGCAACCTGAGAACACCACAAGTAGCTTGAAGTGTTTTTGAACTCTCCTCTTGTTCCCCTCTCCTAACCAGCCACATTCGGACCACATACACAAAAAGGAGAACAAAAATCTCTCTTATGTTTGACTGCAACAATAAGTAGGGAAATAGTAGAAAATAGATCAATATGAAAAGCTTAAGAAAGTATATAGGTCAATTTTTAGTTATAGAAATTAATAGGCCATAACTTGTCAAGTTATGGTTCATAACTAGATAAGTTATGGATAAACTTGTCAAGTTATGGTTCATAGCCAGACAAGTTATGAACAATAACTTGTCAAGTTATGGTTCATAACCAGACTAGTTATGGACGACAACAGTAATTTGACATATTTATTAACTTATGTAAACTATTAGCCTATTAATTTTAATTCATCTCAAGTCTTGACTTATTTCTCTCTTTCTCCCCAATAAGTATATGGGTCTTGTTGGGCTTTAACCAAAATTTTGATGGAGAGAGAATTTAGCCTAATGGGCTGACTAAATATTTAGAGAGATTGTATTCAAAGGCCTTAACCACATTAAAAATTAAATTATTCATCCTATTATGGTCCTTGATATAATACCATGCATAAAGCCATAAACCATATTTTAATATAATTTTCCATAAAACCATGCTCTAAATTTGTGACATATTTAAGTGAATTAATTATGATTTGTGCTAGTCGATACAAATATTTCAACATCTCTCACTTGGACAATACAAATCAAACAACAAATATATATTCAGTCAAAAATAATATGTCAACAAATAAAAATCTCACACAAGAAACAAATGTCCAAAATAATTATACATAATAATACATCGACGGGATGCGAATATTATACATAATCATGCTTTCGAGATTTAGAGAGCATTACAATAACAATTATCTGGATTCAATAACAAAATGAGACTAAAATCTAATGCCTCCAACCACTAAAATCAGACATTCCAAATCTTCCTTACATACAAGCTAAAGTAATGGAAACACTATGGCTTCACCCTGGAGGCCCTTTCATAGCCAGAGAATCCTCATAGGAGTGCGCTATAAATGGTTACCATGTCCCAGCAAACACTCGACTCTTCATCACTTTATGGGCAATAAACCGAGACCCGAAGCATTGGGAGAACCCACATGAGTTCTCGCCAGAGAGGTTTCTCGAAGATGATGGTAATGTAAGGAGAGATTTGGATGTGAGGGGACAACAGTTTCAGCTGTTGCCATTTGGGAGTGGAAGAAGAGTATGGGTGCGTTTAGTAGTGTTTCTTGGAGCTTAAAATCACTTCTCTAGCAATCAAAAGCTCATAATGATATTTAGTAAAAACCATAAAAAGTGATTTTTAAAGAATTTTTTAAAAATTCACAGCTAAAATCAGGAGTAGTCTAAAGACAACTTTGACATTTAGATTGTGTGGGAATCATGATAGTATAATTAATGATTATCAACAAAGTTATATTAAATAATTAATAATTAATAAATAGATATACTTAATAACTAATAAATAAATAGTAGTTACTTATTAATTAAATATTAATTTATTACATTAAGTTTTTAATTTTGTTAATAAAATAATAAATAATATAGTAATTATTTATTTAGTTAAAGATTAATTGCTAAAAATTAAGTATATAACATATTAACAATAAGACAAGTAATAATAGGTTATTAAATAAATAAATAATTATTAATATATCAATCATATATTATGTTAATTATAATCTATTAACTAGTAACAGTTAGTAAATAAAAAATAAATAGTAGTTACTCGACTAATAATTAATATTAAATTATAATTATCAATATGTAATATATTACTCAATAATAATTAATAATTGTTAATTAGTAATTAATCATTGTAAAAAGAATAATTACCAATATTAATAAGTTATGTATATACAAATTATTTTTCTTAATACACTAATTAATTACATATAATCTAATAAATATGAGTGCATTACTAACATAGTAATTACTTATAATTAATTACTAATTATTTTTTAATTGTTTAGCATATTAATTTATTGTATGTATAGTTTAATTACTAATATACTCATTAATGATAATTTGTCCATTATTATTATATTATTAATATATTATTTTTATTTCTAAATAATTATTAATTATTAATTACTTTATATATTAATTTAATATTATCAATTACGGTCATCTTAACTACCTACAACAATTCAACCTCACAATTTACCAAACGTCATTACACTGCTTTTGGAACCAACAACACTTGTATAATTATAGTTTACTAAACACTCAGCTATTTTTTGTAACAACTGTTTTTTCTTTCAGCACAGTTAAAAGTAATTTTTTCATAATTTACAACACTACCAAACTGGCCCTATGTCCCGAAGCTAATCTCGCATTGTTGGTCCTTGGCAGCTTTGGTTCATTGATTTGATTGGAAGGTTGGTGAAGACGGGAATGGCGTTGTGAATATGGAAGAGGGGTTTGGATTGTCACTTCCTAAGGCTAAGCCCTTCATTTGCTTTCCAGTGGCCAGGCTTAATCCATTCCCTCAAGTTTTCTGATTTAAAAATTGTCTTTATATATGTATATATAATAATTGGCTAAATTTAATTCCAAGTCAATAGTATTTAAAGTCTGCCTGTAAGATTATGAAAGTCCAACATCCCAAGCTTAGGATTAAGGAAATCCTCATGTTGCCTTGACATACGAAGAAAACTAAGTTAGAGGATTCAAACCATGATTTGAATCATGGTTTATGGTTCACTATAGTGTTTTCTCTCACAAAAAATACACGTAAATCAAAAATAGTTCTAATCACAAAATTCTAATTCATGAACCAAATATCTTCTGAAAGATTTTGGGCCAACACAAACTTGATTGGAAATAGAAAAACTAAAAGATTGTGATTTGACTGATGCCTAGGCAAAGTAAAAGAGGAAATATTACTCAAAAACTTAGACAGCCATCTGAGGCAAAAGGGTTAAAGACTTAAGACAAGATAAGTTGTGTAATCGCATTGCGAAGATTATAAGTAATGAATTATATGTGTGGACAACATCTCCTTATGGTATGAGACTTGTTAAGGTAAAGTCTAAAAATAAAACAGTGCGGGGTTAAACTCAAAGCGGACAATATTATCATACTAAATGGAGATACGTACAAATCGTTACCAAATCTCTAACATCTTCATCAAGTGTCAATACTTGGAGAGATGACCTAACTTTCGTACCAAATTGTTAAGGACAACAGATGATGATGTGAGCTTCAGATTAAACAACAAATATTAATTGCAGGCTTTATGTATTTACAAGGCAACAAACAAGTGCAGACGAATGTATATTAAGTAAAGAATACACAGTTTTTATAATATTGATTGGCGTTTCCTAAGATGCACTAATCAAGGACGGCTTGTCCCACAAGGTTTAATGCAGGTATTAACAAATGAAATAAAAAACATGAAGTTAATATTGTATATTGTTGGGATGTGAAATTGAATTAATAGGATTAAATATAAAATCATACAAAATGTAGTTAGCATATTGACTAATTCTTAGTTTCATTGGAGTGATTACTGCTTCTATTAAAAGTATTTATTTAATAGTCAAAGCTTCTGCATTATTTTTCTCCTTTGTTTGTTGCAGCAGGCCTCTGGATTTTTTTTTTCTTTTTTTTTGTTTTGTTTTAAATATTAAGGAAAACTTGGTTCTTCATTTATAAAGCATTCCTGCCCCATATAATTTCATTCATTATTTTCTTCACTAAAAGTTCAGCTATGGCAGACTTTCAAGGCTACATCACACTTTTCCTAGTCTTGCTAGTTTCCACCATTGTGGTCCGAGCCATATTCAAGAAAAACCGAACCAAGGTTCGCCTTCCGCCGAGCCCACTAGCCCTTCCAATCATCGGACACCTTCATCTTCTAGCTCCAATACCACACCAAGCACTCCACAAACTCTCCAACCGCTATGGACCCTTAATCCATCTCTCCCTTGGCTCTGTTCCTTGTGTGGTTGCTTCATCCCCAGAAATCGCCAAGGAGTTCCTTAAGACGCAAGAAATTTCGTTCTTGAACCGCCCTCAGACGGCTGCTGTTGACTACATCACTTATGGATCAGCTGACTTCTCATTTGCTCCTTATGGACCTTATTGGAAGTTCATGAAGAAGCTTTGCATGTCTCAGCTTCTTGGTGGCAGAACACTAGATCTGCTTCTCCCCGTTAGGCGCGAAGAGCTCAAGCGGTTCTTACGTGTGATGCTGAAAAAGGCTGAAGAAAATGCAGCAGTTGATGTTGGAGGAAAGCTCATTATACTAACCAACAGTGTCATATCAAGAATGGTTATGAACCAAAGGTGTTCCGAGAAGGACGGTGAAGCCAATGAGGTGAGGAAATTGGTGACGGAGACTGCTGAGCTGACCGGGAAATTCAACTTGTCAGATTACATCTGGTTTTGTAAGAACTTGGACTTGCAGGGGTTTGGGAAAAGGCTTAAGGAAGTTCGTGAGAAGTTTGACACCATGATGGAGAGAATAATAAAAGAGCATGAAGAGGCAAGGAAAGAGGCAAAGAGAGAGGGTGATTTAGTGAAGGACTTACTTGACATTTTACTTGATATATCAGAGGACGAGAGCTCAGAAATCAGACTGACAAGAGAAAACATTAAGGCATTCATTCTGGTACGTTTTATGAAACAATCAACAAACATTATACTATATGTGTGTATTTATTGAGAAAAGTGCATGTATGTGTTGTCCCATGAAAAGTAGATGAAAATATAAAATGATTTATATGCATGAAGGACCCAAGATCCAAAACCTAATAGGTTAAACTTTTAGGTCAAGTTGAGATCCTGAAATATGTTAGTCAATTTTACATGTGGTGTCTCTCCCAATAAGTGGTATCAGAGAGCTGATCGTTCGTACAAGGTCAAGCGAAAATGTTTATATACTATGTGAGAAAATCAAAAATCTTGGTCTAATATTCTGAGCATGAAAATTTGTTATTGCTTCAAGTAGTATTAACAAGACACATGTAAACAAATAGATATTCATATATGAGGGATCATTCTATATGGCTCTCAAAATTCCTAGCCAGAACTGACTATTTCAGAGATTATAGGAACTTGAAATTGATTTCTATTTTCTACTTTTTTTAATTGTGCAAGAGTATACACTTACAATATCACGTGGCTGAAATTGCAATAATGGAGATCTTGGTGATGAGTGCTTGACATTACAAGAAAAAAAAAATAGAAAACTGAACTAAGAAGGTTGTAAAATTATTAAAGTAAATTGCACTTGTTACTGATTTTAAAATTCATAATGTAATTAGCTAAAATTGAAAGTTTAGAAGTGCTATTATGTGAAAAACAAAAAGTTCAGAATGCAACAATGTAATTTACTCGAATTTTTATAACTATTATTATTATTTTTTTTGACAGGACATATTTGCAGCTGGGACAGACACATCAGCCATTACAGTAGAATGGGCACTAGCAGAGCTAATAAACCACCCAAGTATGATGAACAAAGCAAGAGAAGAAATAGACACTGTAGTTGGGAAAAGCAGACTAGTAGAAGAGTCAGATATAGTGAACCTTCCTTATCTCCAAGCCACAGTGAAAGAGACACTGAGGCTTCACCCAAGCCCACTAATTGTGAGAGAGTCCTCAGAAAAATGCACAATCAATGGCTATGACATCCCGGAAAAGACTCAGGTGTTTGTCAATGTTTGGGCTATCGGAAGGGACCCGAGGCACTGGGAAGAGCCGCTCGAGTTCAAGCCGGAGAGGTTTCTTGGTGAAGAAGGCAGTAGAGAGAGCCAATTGGATGTGAGAGGACAACATTTCCATCTATTGCCTTTTGGGAGTGGAAGAAGAGGATGTCCAGGAACATCACTTGCTTTGCAGGTAGTTCACACAAGCCTGGCTTCCATGATTCAATGCTTTGAGTGGAAATTAGTTGGTGGGAAAAATGGCATAGTGGACATGGAAGAGGGACCCGGCTTGACTCTTCGAAGGGCTCATCCCTTGGTTTGTGTGCCGGTTGCTAGGTTCAGTCCACTGCCAATATGAAACATTTTTCACAAAAGAAAAAATACTTGGGGGAACTACCGGTGCTAAGCGCCGGTACTAAATACAAGCACTTATAAGACCGGTTCCATTTATAGGTGTTATGTCGTGGGATCCACCTTCTATTAATAAGTGTCAGGTGCTCTTAATATCAAAATTCAATTTTATATGGCATTTGAAATGAGTGATTGTTTTAAATTATAAAGATGGTATGTTTTGCCTCAAGAATTGAGAAAATGTATAGGAAGTTAGATACTTAGGGCCCGTTTAATTCGTTAATTCGAGTTGAGACGTGATTTTATGTGAAAGTTTCTTATTGTAGTAAAAAAGTTAGATGTGACTGTTTTTTAGAGCTTTTTACTATAACAAAACTCGAATCGGTGAAATGAACGAAAATTAATAAAAAATAGTGAACATGAATTTAAAACGTTAAGGAGATATATAATTGCAAAAGGTAGTTTCATTTTTCATATACTATATAGTATATTGCATAGAAATTTATTTGCATTTTATAATTCCATGTAAAGTATAGTTCCCATATGACTTTTTTTATGTATATAATTGCAAAATTATCGTACCCACCGTGATCTATTTTGACCCGTTCAACAACTTGAAAGAAAAGAAATGACAAAGTCAAGAAATCGGAAGTAAAATCCAAACGCAAATATTCAAATAGATACAAAGGGGTTTTTAATTCGTGAACAGTGAACTCGTCGCACTTGCTAAGGTATGTATCCAACATCCCTCATGGTCGGCTAATGGAAATTATTAATGAATTTGTCACATAATATTCTACTTCGAACAAGATAAATATAATATCACAAAATTGGAATGCGTAACCGACTACATTTATCATATAAAAAGAAAATCTACTACATAAGATTAGAAGCTAAATATGAATGGAGTGTCTTTAGTAGTTCTTAAAATAAACTATCGGTAATTCTTTATTTTTTTAGTCATAAGATCTATATCAAAAACTGTTTGTTTTACATATTTTTTCTATCTAATGTAATTTTAATCATATTTAATAGTAAAAAATTAGAATTACAAATAACGTGGACTACCGAAGAAACTCTCAGATACTAAATATGTAGTTACTAATAAAAATAGTGAAAATTCCCGTCATTATTTGCTTTTCTATGGGAAAAAAAAGTATGCCTTGATGATCACAACTTCTACAAATAGGATATTACATGAGAAGAAAAGTAATTTTTTTTAAAGCAAAAAATAGAGAATTTACTCTTGAGAGTGTATGAGTCAGAACCTTTATTCCTTACTCTTGATAAATACTCTTTTATTAGTGTAATTATTTAACTAAAAAGATTATAAATCAAGAGTAAATGATAAAAATCTTGAGTCATGCACTTTCAAACGATATTTGTCATGATTATTTTTTTTAATCTTTTACGGTTAGCACTAGTTTGGCAAGAAAAGTCCACACTACTTTTTATTCTTTTATGTTTATTTTTTATATATATTTACTTTAAACATTGAGGCTAATCTTGGGCATTAGATCACTACCTAATGCTTTTAAAAAAAGACAAAACAAATGTCGAAAAGAATACTTTATACTATAAGTCCATTTGAGACTATCCTCTTCTTTTTCTTCAATAAAAAAACTAAGTACTCCTTTCTTAAGAGTAATCCTTTTAACTTAAACAACTGATTTGTTTACCAAAAAACTCATCCATGGAAGATCTTGAAGGCTACATCATCCTCACCCTTGTGATCTGTCTAGTCTCAACCGTCCTGGCCCGAGCCATACTTGCCAAAGCTCGGACCAAGGCTCGGCTTCCACCGAGTCCGCCTTCTCTTCCAATCATTGGACACCTTCACTTGGTTGGTTCAATACCACACCAAAGTTTCCAAAAACTGTCAAACAAATATGGACCCTTGATTCATATCTCTCTTGGCTATGTCCCTTGTGTGGTTGTTTCATCACTAGAAATGGCCAACGAGTTCCTTAAGACCAATGAATCTTCATTCTTGGACCGCCCTCAGTTCATTAATATTATGAACCTTTCTTATCCCTCAGCTGATTTTACTTTTGCACTTTATGGACCTTATTGGAAGTTTATGAAGAAAATATCCATGACTCAGCTTCTTGGGGGCCAAACAATGGACCAACTTCTCCCCATTAGGCATGAAGAGCTTAAAGGATTCATGAACTTGATGCTCAGAAAGGCGGATCGAAAGGAAGCCATTGAAGTCGATGTAGAGCTCGCGAAGCTAATGAATAATGTCATATCGAGAATGACTATGAGCCAAAAGTGTTCCGATGATGACAATGAAGCCGAAGAGATTAGGAAGTTGGTGAGAGAGACAACCGAGATCGCCGGAAGATTTAACTTGTCGGAGTATATTTGGTTTTGTAAGAATTTTGATTTTCAAGGTCTTGAGAAGAGGTGTAAGGAAATTCATGACAGATTTGATGCTATGATGGAGAAGATTATAAAAGAGCATCAAGAGGCAAGGAAGGAGGAGAAGGGTAGAAGTGAAAAAGTCAAGGATTTGCTTGATATTTTACTTGATATACAAGAATGTGAGAACTCAGAAATCAAGTTGAAGAAGGACCACATAAAAGCATTCATAATGGTAAGGTTTCAGCCAACCCTAGATTGATTGATCTCGTCAAACAATGAACTTGATCTATAAAGAAGAGTATCTAGTTCATAATATAGTTGTTTTTCTGTTGAATGCATAACAAATTGTCAAAGTAGAAAACTAGTAGTTGGATATATGCTAGAGAAGTATTTTAGTTGCCATCTTAAAATACTCTGTTTGTCCTGTTTGATAAAACTGCTTAAGAATTAAATATTAACTTTTTCATTGATTTGGAGCTTTGGTTTTTAAGGGTCTTGATTTCTGAACTCGCTTAATTACCTCCAAAAATGAAGGTAATTGTCAATTTCCTAAATTCTAGTGTCAAGTGAAAAACATGTTAAAAGAAATTATAAATACTCTGTTTGTCCTGTTTGATAAAACTGCTTAAGAATTAAATATTGACTTTTTCATTAATTTGGAGCTTTGGTTTTTAAGGGTCTTGCTTTCTGAACTCTCTTAATTACCTCCAAAAATGAAGGTAATTGTCAATTTCCTAAATTCTAGTGTCAAGTGAAAAACATGTTAAAAGAAATTATAAATAACTAACAAAGCTATCAACACATGAATTTTCAGGACATGTTTGTAGCTGGGACAGACACAACTGCCAAAGCAATAGAGTGGGCATTAGCAGAGCTAATAAACCACCCAAATATCATGAACAAAGCAAGAGAAGAAATCTATAATGCGGTTGGGAAAACCCGACTAGTAGAAGAGTCAGACATTGCTAACCTTCATTACCTCCAAGCCATAATGAAAGAGACATTGAGGCTTCATCCAACAGGCCCAATGATCTTGAGAGAGTCATCCAAGAAATGCACAACTAGTGGCTATGAAATCCCGGAGAGGACCCGGTTGTTCGTCAACACGTGGGCTATCGGGAGAGACCCCAAGTACTGGGAAGACCCACTTGAGTTCAAGCCGGAGAGGTTTCTTGGCGAAGAAGGCGGTGGAAAAACCGTGTTGGATGTGAGGGGACAACATTTTCAGCTTTTGCCATTTGGGAGCGGAAAAAGGTTATGCCCCGGAACCTCGCTTTCTATGCAGGTCATTCAGACAACTCTTGCTTCAATGATTCAGTGCTTTGAGTGGAAGGTTGATGGAAGAAATGGCACTACTCTTGACATGGAAGAGGCACCTGGGTTGACTCTCCAAAGGGCTCATCCCTTGGTCTCTGTTCCAGTTGCTAGGCTATGTCCAATGCCACTTTGATCAATATGTATATATGAATAACATATATATACACGAGCCCATTCATTTCGCTGATTTGAATTTGTAATTCAAGTTGAGATGTGATTTTATATGAGAACTTTTTACTGTAATAAAAAAGTTAGATATGACTGTTTTTGATAATTTTTTACTGTAACAAAACTCAAATTCTAAACTCGAATCAGTAAAATGAATGGAGTTTATATGTTTTGTCAAAATAAAAACAAACAAAAAAAAATGGATATGCAAATAAAATATGTTTGTCTCCACTTTTTGGTCTATTGAGCTTTGCAAGCTGAAGAGCACCTTGTCTTGCGTTCTCCATCTTTTTGTCTGTTGTCGGTATTGCCGGGTGTTGGGGTGTACCTGCAGAAGAAAATTCGGACACTTAAGTTAGGCAACTGATAGAGAGGATAAAAAATAGAGTTTTAGGTCCCGTTCACTTCATTGATTTGAGTTTAGAATTCGAGTTAAGATGTGACTTTATGTGAGAGCTTTTTACTGTAGTAAAAAAGTTAGATGTGATTGTTTATGAGAGCTTTTTACTGTAGAAAAACTCAAATTCTAAACTCGAATCAGCGAAGTAAACGGGACCTTAGTAAGTTAGAAAAGAATGAGAAACTGAAAGAAAGTACAAATAGGGGAGGCGGCTAAGAAAACTCTTTGTGGACTTTCTATCTCAACCATAATTAATAGAACTCTAAAAATCTATAACCGTGCAATTCGTTGAGTAAATATCACATCACAACCATTTTATTGTCTTATCTAAAATTCCAATGCAAATGAACGTCTCAGGAAAACAGAAATCTTGCAGGTCCCAAGCATTTGAATAACGTGATTTTACTGGCAAATAAAAGATCATTGATCATGGACAACCAAAACAGATTCAAATAAGAAAAAAAAAAGAAAAGAAAAAAATATCAATGATATTAATAACACAGAATAATTTGGCTGGCATCTTTATATCCATTCTATTTATCACTTCCCATGATGGTCAAAATTCACCTTTGAGGAATGAATGTTCGATAAATTAATTAGCTCGATTAAATAATAAAATCTTTTAGTCTCCGCTTGAGTCAATGTACTAAATTAATAATCTCGTTAAATGAATAAGATAATAATTTTTTTTTTCGATTTCTTTTAGGGCCCAATGAAAATATAAATTAATAATTAATTAAATACAAAAAATAATAATAAATAACATATAGAATTCATCATATTAACAACTTTTTCTTTTCATCTAGGTATTAAATTTAAAAAATATGTACATCAATTTTATGTCTATATATGTATTTATTGTCATTCTATGTACACTATACTTACATTAATTTTTGAGCTTCTATGTACATGTATATAGCATTAATTATATACTTGAAATTCTATATATAAACATATTAATTTTGACTACATCCACTTATTTAAAAATTTATTTATAACTCATACATGAATTTTGATCAAAAGAATAATACATGTACTAAAATGACACATATTTTTAAAATATAAAACTCTTCTTAAATTAATAAATATTTATTTACCAACTAATTTATCTATCATGTATTTATCGATAAATTAATAATCTCATTAAAATAATATTTTTTCTTAGTCCTAAAATATTTTTTATATTGATTTTACTGTAGTATGAATTCGAAACATAAAGGTGTAAATTTGATATGTCTCATAATGTAGTGTATGATGTTTAAAATATCAAAATGCAAGGTGTAGAAATGAAACAAAGCATTAGAACAATAATAGAGAAAAGCTACTAGCTATCTACTATAATCTTACTTTTTTCTTGACTTCCAACGTGATTAGGCTCCACAATCTTCAACAAAAATGAGTACTATCTAATCTATTTATGAAGGTTCCTTAAACGAAAGAGATTAAAAAGAAAAAAGAAAAGAAAAGAAACTTCCCACGAGCTCTCAAATTAAACCATACTGAATATCGATTAACATTGGAACACTATGATTATTTATGCACCTTATACTCTTATAGAGCTACGTACTATCAGAATACAACCATTCCACGTCATATAAACTCCAGGATTTGTATCCTCAACTTAAATGACGCAGCGTTTAAACAAGACAAAGAAACGACGCGCGTTTTGGAACACAACTTTAACAAGGAAACGACGTGCAAAACAGAGTAAAACGAAAAATAAATGAACTGAAGCAAAAGCAATTATTTCAGGCCCCACACATAGAGTTGCAAGAAGGCCTACGTGGGCCGGGCCGACTTATATAAGAACAACCTTCGGCCCGGTCCACACCATGGATTAATTTTCTAGGGGCTAAGTCAAGTCATGTCATGGGTCAGGTTGGGCCGTGAACGGACCGGCCCATTTGAGCTCATCAACGAGTTAGGATGGATATGCCCATCTTAATCTTTAATTTTTTATTTTTTTAATATTTGTTTCTAAATTTCTATACAAATTAATAAAAGTCTGAATAATTAATTGAATTATGAAAAAATATAGAAACAATTTTTTTAATATTTGTCTCATTAAAAATATTTTTTTAAAAAACCAGTGAGACAAAAACCTTAATAAAGAAAAATGAGTACAATGAAAATAATTATATATAAGATAGTTTATAAAATTACTAAATAAAAGTCAAATAAACAAAAAACATAAAAAGCCTAATATGCCACTCCTTGAAGAAGGCCATTCTCCAACTGTGCCTTTCATGAGCTGGCTCATTGTGGGTCTATATGAGCTTAATCAAGTGAGCCTTACATGGGCCGGCTCATGTTGGACCTATTCGTGCCGGCATAGTGCGGCCCATGCCCATGCTCGGCCTGGCCTATGAATTTTCATAGGCCGATCCATGAATCGAGAAATGTTAGCACAGCCCACCACACTAATTTTATTAGGTTGAGCCGTATCTTAAACCGTATCGCGCCGGACTAACGTAAGGCTGTATTAGAATGGGTTTGGGCCGGTCCATGGGCCCGCCCTATAGCTCCATCTCTAGCTACGCTACGCTACATACATTTGGTAAGTAGCAAAGACGGAAAGAGCACTATTATGTTGTCAATTACTTTCTCTGTCAGAAACCTTTATTATATGAGATACGTACAAGTAATTACTTTCTTTTGAAAAGTGAAAAAAAAAAAGAGAATTCATTATCATCTTGTTAATTAATCTTTGAATGTCATATTTTTTAAGAATTTTTTACTGTAAAAATTTAAAATTTAAAACTTAAATTAGTGAAATGAACGAGACTTTAGATTTTTTTAGTAATATCTCTATTTATTAGGTTAATATTTAATTTTATTAAAATTATATTAAATTAAAAAAATACATGAAACAATTATGTGGAAATTTAATAGAAACTTTCAAATTTGTAATTGTAAACCATCATTATTCGTACAGAATGTTGACTGTGAAGAGATCGTTAGTTGGTCTTAGTGGGTCCATAGCAATCAATCACGCCGATATTTTCCCAACAAAATGGTTAAAAACATAGAGAAAGGGTCTGAAAAAGAGAGAACTAAAAATCTCTTTCTAATCTTTCCCAACAAAATAACAAGAAAAGAAAAAAAAGAGAGAGAATACAATGGGAACCTCAAACTCTGATATAACAACAAAACAACTCCTACTTGATCATCATGATCATGATGTGGAAGTGGAACAACCACCAACTGATCAAAAACATCCCAACAACAAACTTTCTCTCATCCCTCTCATCTTCCTCATCTACTTCGAGGTCTCCGGCGGCCCCTACGGCGAAGAGTCGGCGGTGGGGGCCGCGGGGCCTCTCCTCGCCATCCTCGGCTTCCTCATCTTCCCCTTCATTTGGAGCATCCCGGAGGCACTCGTCACCGCCGAGCTCGCCACTGCGTTCCCCGGAAACGGCGGCTTTGTGATATGGGCAAACAAGGCTTTTGGTCCCTTTTGGGGCTCCCTCATGGGCTCTTGGAAGTTCCTTAGTGGTGTCATCAATTTGGCTTCATATCCTGTTCTTTGTGTTGACTATCTCAAGCTGGTAATCCCAATCCTCTCTTCAGGATTTCCTCGCTACTTTGCAATATTGGTCTCCACTTTGGTCCTCTCTTTTCTCAACTATACAGGTTTGACAATAGTTGGTTACACTGCGGTCGCATTGGGAATTGTGTCCCTTTTACCATTTCTTTTGATGACCCTTTTAGCGATTCCCAAGGTTGATCCCGTCAGGTGGATTAGTTTCGGTCAAGAGAGTGTCACGAAAGATTGGGCATTGTTCTTCAACACTCTTTTTTGGAACTTGAATTTTTGGGACAATGCTAGTACTTTAGCTGGTGAAGTTGAGCAACCGCAAAAGACATACCCAAAAGCACTTTTCTCCGCTGTGATTTTGTCATGCTTTGGTTACTTATTACCTCTCTTGGCTGCAACCGGGGCTATACCTCTAAATCAAGAGAATTGGGTTGATGGGTACTTGGCCAATGTTGCTGAAATGATTGCTGGGAAATGGTTGAAGATCTGGATCGAACTCGGCGCAGTTTTATCAGTGATCGGGTTATTCGAAGCCCAATTGACTAGCAGTGCATATCAAATTTTGGGCATGGCGGAATTAGGCTTCTTGCCTCGAATTTTCGGAGCGCGGTCGAAATGGTTCAACACCCCTTGGCTGGGAATTTTGGTCTCAACAATGGTACCACTTGTTGTCTCTTACATGGATTTCGCCAACATTATTTCATCTGCGAATTTCTTGTACAGTTTAGGAATGTTGTTGGAATTTTCATCTTTCCTTTGGCTGAGAAAGAAGTTACCACAAGTGAAGAGGCCATTTAGTGTCCCAATGGGTTTAGGAGGGTTGGTTTTTATGTGTTTGATTCCATCTGGGTTTTTGGTGTATGTTATGGCTGTGGCTACTAAACCAGTTCTTTTAATTAGTACTTTGTTAACTCTGTTTGGAATCGCTTGGTACTTCTTTATGAATATCTGCAGAAAAAAGATGTGGTTTGAGTTCAACAAAGGTGAAGAAAAGTTGGACGGTGAAGATATAGACTAGATTGATTGTAAAATATTACAATATGGATCAATATTTATGTATCTAATTTTTCAATTTTTATGAAGAAAATTGATTTTTTTCCTTTTTTTTTTTTTTTGCCGTGAAATTCTTGGTTGTTCTCAAACCCAATATCCTATCGCTGTCCGTACTTCAATTTATGTGGGATGTGATCAAAATATTTTTGAAGCTTTGTAGTCATTCATAAGCTTTTATTTAAAAAATAAAATAAAAATAAAAGAAAGTTCTTCTTGTCTTAATGGGAGTGCCTGTAATATTTCTACGTTCCGTAGTCTGATTGTTAATAGGCTACCGACAATGAATATTTTGTCACGGGATCTTAATCTGGTTTTGATTCTAGAGATGCTAGTTGACCACACATGTCTAAATATTTAGAGAAAGGAAAGAGGCGTGCACGTGAAATATTATCAAATAATGCAAACTTCACTTCTCTCTCCTTTTTCTTAAAAAATAATATATTGGGAACTCTCTATTTGACTTTTTTTTTATATTTATTTATAGATTTATATGATAGGTTATGAAAAATGAAATACTATAGTTTTATATTTTTAATTATTGAATTTGTATAAAAATTATCTGTTTTATATATTTTTTATTTTGACGCTATTTTTATTACATAAAACGACTAGAAAAAGTTATTACCAGTGCGAACCCTACTGTAAAAGACCCCCCCCCCCCCCCCCCCCCCCCTTTTTTTTTTTAATGAGGTTGTTTTTTTGCTGTAGCTAAACCTTAGATAAAGTTGTCACATGTATCATGCTCTATAAATTATTCTTTGAAACAATGGTGAAGTACAAGTAACAATTTCTCTTATTTATAACTGGTTGAAACACATGGGGGTCTTTGTTTATTGCACTTCAGAATACCATGACAAGGAGCAATTTCCATAAGAGACATAGTTTTTTGCATTAAAATTGCCGGAGATATCTTAGTGGGCTACCATACCTCATAAGCTGGATGACATATTGAACTCTACAACACATAAGTCATTAAAAAAAAAGTGAAAAAGAGGAAAATAAACCAAGTCTTGAGATAAATTAAAATTAATAGGTCAATAGTTTACATAAGTTAATAAATATGTCAAATTACTGTTTTCGTCCATAACTTGTCTGGTTATGAACTATAACTTAACAAGTTATTCACGATTTTTACCCATAACTTGTCTGACTATGAACCATAACTTGACAAATTTGTCCATAACTTATCTGGTTATGAACTATAACTTGACAAGTTATGGCCTATTAATTTCTATAACTAAAAATTGACCTATATACTTTCTTAAACTTTTCATATTGACCTATTTTCTATTATTTTCTAAAAAAAAAAAAAAAAAAAAAAACACACAGAAGTCATTATACAAATGGGCCCACCAATTAAACATAGATTAAAATCTCACACCTAATTGACAAGAGACAGAGCAAGCAATATTTAAGAAAGAAAGAAGGGAAAAAAAAAGTGCTACAGAGTTATAAATGTTGGTCTAACCAAACAGAAAATAATATGGTGTTGTTGAAGGCTTACTTCAGGCGCTGAGGTTCTAGACTTCTAGCATTCAAATTTACTACTCCAAATTCAAAAAAAAAAAAAAAAGAAAAAAAAAAAGAAAGAGAGAGAGAGAGAGAGAGAGAAAACCAAACAGAAAGAAACAATTACAATAATAATTTGGTTATTATTGGTGTTGTTGTTGTTGTTGAGATAAAATCATTTTAGTACGTTTTGTTATACTAAAATATACTCTTGATACTCTATGTTTTTATTAATATTAAAAACGATACCTCAATATTTTTAAAAATATCTTCTTGATACCGTGAAGCTAATTTTTGAGACATATAATGTCCAATCTACACTTCTTATTAATTATATAGAAATTAATATTTTTCACAAAAATCTAAAAATATTTTTAAACCTTAAAATATTTAAAAGAAAATAACAAAATAAAAAAGTTCATGATTTTTTTTTCTATATTTATTAGTTTTTGCTAATTAAATAGAAAGGTATTAAAATTATTTTACATATATAAAATTAATCTCAGGATATTAAGAAGATATTTTTAAAAATATCAAGATGCCACTTTAATATTATAAAAAAAGCGCATTTTGCAATAACACAAGGTATGAAAATAATTTTATCTATTTCTTGCAATCTAACTGGAAGGTTTTTGCTATTATCTTTTATTGGACCTTTGAAATTGGCCCTTCCGTTGTGACTCCGAACTTTGAAATTTTTTGCTTCCTCCATTTTTTTTTTTTTTTTTTTTTAAACATTCCAGAAGCAATTGATTTAGATTACAAGACTTTTGACACTGAATGGTATGTACATATAAAACATGACAGTTTCTGCTTGAATCTTTCTCTAGGAATTCTTGTTGTCCATACAATAGTTCTATCTGTCAGATTTACACTGCATTCTTCTAACAAATCAAAGAAGATAAGCCATCAACATAAGCTAAAATGTTACAAGACTTTTTCTATATTGAAATCAAAGCTTTTCCCACATCATTTATAATGGTCCTGTCTTATTCTAGTAGTGCATATTTCTAACTGTTAAGTTTAATCAAAATCATATTAAATTAAGGAATATGCAAAAAATAAAAAACATATGATCTTACTATAAAAATCTCATATTTGTAATTAACCGTGTCTCATAGAATCGTGTCTCTCATGTCCAATTGGGTCCCACACAATATTTTTGCGAGCCAGCCTCGGATTACCAGCGGCATGCAGAATAGGCTGTCACCATCATAGTTTTGGCAATGACATTTAGTTGGGGAATTTTACCGAACAACTTGCGTGCATAACAGAGTTTGGAGTATTTGCATATTGGGGATCTAGCGACATTGGCAAGAGCATGAACCCAAAAGTAATGATGTGGGCATGGACAGTTGGAGCAAGACAATGGGATCATCCAAATGTGTAAATACTTCAAACTTAGTAAAAACAATCACATAATTATAAAAGTTTTAAGAATTTTATAGATTATTAAAATTACTTCTTTGTACGTACAATTTTAAAAAATACTAACCCAAGAAAAAAAAAATCGAAAAATACGAAATACGACACATTTATATGGGAAACTAACTAATGAGTAAACTGTTTAGGTAATTAAGCTAGTTTCAATTTGTGTTGAGTGAGTGTGAGTTGTTTTTATTGTGAGTATCGAGTTCAAGTCGGAGGGAAAGTAATTTTAGAAGAGGGATCAAAATAACTAAAAATATAAAACTAAAATTAATTGAAAAGAATAGTTTATTAAACATGGATAATTTTTTTTTTTGTTTGATATTATTGATTTAATGGCAACATCTATACATAGCATTTTGGCCTTATACATAAGAAGCCTATAATTTATACATCAGAACTATTTGTCACTCCTTTTCTGTAAAGGGGGGGATCGTAGAAAACCTTGATAGAGACCATAAAAAATCTAATTTTTTGGACGCCTAAGAGGTCTATTTATAGTAAGTACTATAATTGTTGAATTCTATCAATATCTTTAATAGATCCTATACGATCAAAACGAGAATTGATTTGTCTACCACTTGGTTAACAATCCGAGTAGCGACCTGACGACATGATTTAAAATCCGCACGAAATTAATGAGTCATAATCGGGTTAACGCGATTAACACGATTAATAAATGAATTGGGCTAGGGTTGACCTCTTAACACGAAGTGATACGAATTGACACGATTAACTATATGTGTTATTTACAATCTAATGATATGTGATATAACATTAAAGTTTATTTGACATATTAAATACAAATAATGTGAATTTTAATATTTTTAGGTAAAATTCATTTATTTTTCTTAAAGGGGAAGATAAATGATCAATAAATATATTAAACCTATCTTGACCGTGTTAAATAAGTCATTGTTATATTCGTTATTTATTTAATATATTAATTTAAACGGATTATATGGGTTTACACGATTAACATGATTAATAAATGGGTCGTGTTTGGATTGACATTTTTGACACGTTTATTAAACAGACCGTATTTAAATTGATGTTTTCTGACACGATTAATAAACGAGTTAACACGAATATAACCCATTAACACAAATTGTCACCTTTACCACTGGCTGTTGGGAAAAACATTTTGGAAAACAATTTAACGTAATAGAATGAGTAAGAAACATTCGACTCATGACACTAGAAAAAATTTTCATTTAATATATTTCTCGCTATGACTCCTCTCTATATTCACCAGTTTTGTGGGCACCGGTGAGTTTTCTCCTTTTCTTTGATTCTCTTTCCAACCCGTTAATGGCTTCTTTTTCTCTAATTGTGAGATGATTAAAAACCTAGTGAATAGAGACCAAAAAGATCTAATTCAGAAGAGTTACCTCTCAAGCAGTAGGCACACGCCCAACCATATGGTGCCTCCCCTAAAGGAGTCTGCCACGTGTCATCTTTCAACTGCACCGTCTAATTTCTCCAATCACAATCCAAAATTTATAAAGCCAACATATTATTTTAAAATTAAAATTGATTTATATTTATTTAACCATTCAAATAAATATTTTTCACACAATATAATTATTTATTTTGACAATTTAAAACAAATAATCACTACATAATATTTACTTTAACAGTTAAAATAAATAATGAATGTGAAACTAATATCCACATTGTCACACAACATATATTTACAAAAATATGTTAGTGTTGTATGGAAAACATGCTACTTAGTATTCTCGGCACTATCTATGACACACCACCTATTACAGACCATTCGTGTGAGCGTTTTTCGTAGAGTTCAGGAACCCTCTGATCCATAAAGAGAATTCCATTAAATTTTTTTCATGAAAATATATGGAGTTAGCAAAGGGGCCAAATGGACCTACATGATTAAAGCTCCAACAATTAATATTAACTTGATTACGTTCTTAATCAATTAAATATCATTATTAGCTTTGGTTTATGTCATGATCAAAAACCAAAACTACACTTTAAATTATGCAAATATATTTATAAGAAGTTAATTATTTGAAATAGCTTTGTCCACTGATATAATGGGTTACCATATGATGTGACTATCCACTAAAACTATCCATTATTAGAACTAAGTAATTATTCCATTATTATATCTTTCTCCATGAATTACATTAATACTCTGATGG